AATGGGAGTGGAAAATGGAAGGCTGAAAAATAGCTAAGCTATCAAGTGAGATTTAACCCAAGATGCTGGGGTATAAAGAAGGGGGAAAAAAGGGCTACAGCCTTCCTCCTGTCCCCTTATTGACCTTAAAATATTCTTGCAGTAGCAAGGCAGACAGGACAAGTACTCTGTTTTCAATGAGAAAGAGATATAGTTTACATATGAAGAGATTAAATAAACTATCACATACCTCCAGTCCTACAACTTGTTTCCTTTTCTTTAAGATCTACGTACTCTTACTTTACTGTTTTCAAAATAGGATGAGCAGTGGATAAAAACCTGCAAGCTACTGGTACACCAAGTATATAGCACGAACAGATCTGTGCATCTTTTAAACATAGCTCTCTAATAAAATTTTCATAAAAATCCTAAAAAAAATCCTAAAATCTCTAACAAAAATCTTAATTTCACTAATGAAATTAATTTGGACTCCAAGAAAAACAAAATCCCTTCTCCAGACAAGCCATCAGTAGGTCAGAGAGCACGGAGCAACACCTGTTAGGCAAAAATGATTTGCCTAGGATGGGCCTGGCTTCCAGAATTCAGACTCTTACAAGGCTAAGCTTCTTAAAATATAGGAGCTCTTGACTGGCTCATAAAGGATGATTTTTCTCTCCCGTAGCTGTTAATCCTGTAGTTGCAGACAATTAACCCCACTTCTTGGCGAGGAATCAAACAGCAGAAATCAATCTGTACAAGCCACAACTATAAAAACAAACAAACTGGAACCACAGGCACAAATGACTTGAGTAATCCTAACCACTTGCTTGGCTTGGAATTAAGACTGTGAAGGCCACTGGAGAACACCAGCCTGGGAAGGGTAAGTTTATCAGCTACAACAGTGAATCTGAATGTTCACACGGGGAACTGCAATGCACATCTAATTTTTGGACTTTAATGGTAAATCCCAACAGTATTTGAAGTTCCACTAGAGAATGAACTACCTTCTGTTAACTATTTCCTCTCCTAATTAACAGGCAATAAGAATCTGTCAAGTTGTGGAAATCATAAGCAAAGCCAACCACCAGGGCACAGATCAATCTTGCTGAGTATATAGACACCTACTAAGTAATATTAAATACTATGTGCACAACACCATCACATTTTCTAAACCTAAACAAATCATAATATTTTACAATATTTTTCCCCACTGCTTTTCTCATCTCTACTGTTGCATGAACATATTTTTTTCTTCTTTGAATCATTCACCTAATCAAAGAAGGCAATTTTCTGTGAGTTCTTGCTGCTTTTGGGTAACATACAGCCAAGTGCAATCTATAAAATTCCTAGGACATAGACATCACAGAGTATATCCATTAACCTATTTAGTAAGTGCACGTTGCATGCCTTATATGTGAAATAATCTGCTGTTTCAGTTCCTTATTTAAGACTTGAGCTAATACTTACTGTGTTAACGTAACAGACCAGCCTCTTCTCAGAGACATCATGCACCTTAAATCACCTTGTGTCAATAATTAAACATGTCAGCACTGTTCAATTGGGAGCCAAGCATTTCACCTCTGTCCTTCACAGATTATGACTGGTGCTCAAAGACCCTGTATTCGTTGCAGGAATAAAAGTGGCTGTTCAGGCTTGGTTTCTACCAAAATAAGCTGAAAAAGTTGCCTTTGCTGTCCCAGTTTTCAAGGGGGAGTGAATTGCAAACAGCAACCTCTCTCCTCCTCTGGAGTCCAGGAGCAGCATCCGCACAGGGACTTGAAGTTTTTGAAGCACTGTGTGTGTGCTGACATCAGGAAGCCTTCTCAAGGATTCACCGTGGGTATGAGAGAAGGAAAGGACATGGATTATCAGCACTGGAATACTCCCTACCTTCTGGATACTTTTAACATGATAAAATAATTCTAGGAATCAATGTGGTCCCTGAACTCCAGCTCAGTGGCTTAACTGCAAAGACCACACCATGACCCCTTTTAACCTTTTATTCTCTATTTCCCAGAACAACATCTTGATCAAAAGGGATTTTTTGTACATTTCAGCGTTCTAGTAACTATGAAAGAAAAGATACTGAAAGTTTCTTAAAGGGAGGCCCAAAGCTACTTCTCAAAATGTAAGTCTATTTATTAGCAGGTCTGTTGCAGGACAATGTTGGTATTGAGAAAAATCGTGGCTACACTACACACATTTCAGGCTTTTTCTTTTCAACATTGGACTATCTCTACCTGCATTAGATACTCTGATGGAGCACATCTCCCAGGGCAGCCTCATCCAGAAGAAATACAGTTCCAAGACTATGTCATAACACAAACAAAAGCACAGTAAGAGAAATGAGAGATTCACTTCCAAGTCACACGCTTTACCTGAGCAAAAAGAGTAAACACGCCTTAAAATATATCAAAATGCTTCTATTTTTGCAGTATAGCATTTGGGCACATTACCCTTTCCCCAGAATAAATATATATTGTAGTATTCATTGCATTCTTACTTCTGTATAGATCTGCCAGACAGAGACTGGACTATATGGGCCAGAAATTCAAAGGTTTCTTTAACTTCAGAAGAATGTGGTTGGGGAAACCCCCACTAAAGAGTACAGGGAAGGATTTAAGATGGACCTCGGTAAATTAGCAGATTAACATTCTACTACTTCCAAAATTCAGGATGTTTCTTCCTATTCCTACCAGTCTCTTGCAAAAATGCTGAACTCTCCTGTGTGGTAAAGAAGAACACGCTACATTTTGTGATGCTGGCAATTAAACAATGGATTTTCCAATATTTTTTTTTTCCATTTACTCTTCCATTTTGCGTTTTCTGTGCTTTTTCATTTGTTCTAGAGTACAGAGGAGTGAAATACCAATTTATAGAAATCCCACTGAAGTGCTGTGACAAATGGTCCTGTGCAAAACCAGGCAGCCCCCCCGAGAGCTCAGATAGGTGGGCACAGGTCATGGGACAGCAGTGCCCTAGGACAGCCAGAGGCCACTGAAACAGTCAGTGTAATCCAGTAAGGACGAAATTGTACCCACTAACACACCACAGTGAAAACAAAAAGTGCTTTGCAAAGGTTCAGCTCTAAGTTGGCATTTAAATGCTGCTGACAGACAGTTCAGACAAGGAACTCAACAAGAGGTGCCTAAGGCACAGCACAGATCCCATAAAATACAAGAATTGTAGCCTGTGAAGTCCTGCTGTAAAACTGTTTTCTATGGCATTTTGGCCCTGGTAGAATCTCTTCCAGCCACACATCAAACCCTCAAGGGCAACTGCAGTATTTTCAGGACTGCATCTGCTCAGCACCGGCAACTCAGGCTTCTTCTCTTGGAAGAAAGTACCCAGCAGGGACTCCTCTACCCATCACTTCCCTTTGGAGAAAGAGCAGGAGCACTGCACCTCATAGAATTTTTTACCATTATTAGCAAAATCCTGATAGGCTGAATTAAAAGAACTTTTACTGTCCCACGCTGAAAGAGGTGAAAATGGAAGCTCTAAGCCTTCAGCGAAAGGCACAGCTCTCCTTTCTGTGCTGGTGTTCCTGACTGTCAACAAAAACCTAAAACTATGTCCAGCTAAAACCTCAGGAATGTGCAAACAGATTCCCTTCTCCCTTGAGCCATTAGATAAAAAGAATGTAACTCCCCGTATGTTTATCTAAGCCTTCTTTGGAAGCAAAACCATGATCAATCCAATTTAAAAAAAATTTTTCAAGGGCAACTGAATGCCAATTATAAAGATTTTTCCAAAACAGTTTCACTGATGATCAGCAGACTTGAATAAGATGAAAACAACGTGGTCAGTTGCCTAAATAGAAGCTTAGTACCTCTGAAAGCCACTAAAAAAAATAATCAGTGAAGCATAATGGAGTAGTTTGTAAAAAGAGTTAACTGAGACACGGTACTTTGTGCTACTCAGGAGCATTCAGGCTGTGAAGAACACTCCTTACTACCCTCCAGCTCTCCCAGGATCTGGAAGTTTTGCTGTGGTTTTAAACAGGAACAGACTCTGTCCTTATGTATTAAGAGGCAACTTTTGCGGAAGGGAACAAGAGCACGAAGACAGAGCAGGTTTCTCAGAAGATCTGCTAACCCCTGCAATGTCTTGCTCGGTTTTATACTCAAAGAATATAAAAAATGAAATAGTCTGCAATGCTTTTCCCTGCAGGAGGGGACCCACCGTGCACACACACGCCACAGCTCGGGTTGACATGCATTTGGCAGCATCTTTCCCAGTTTGCTACAGGTGGGAGAAGGGAATCGGAGCCAGTTGGGACACCAACACATCAGCTGAATTTCTCTGCCAAAACCCCATTCTGTTTGTTTTTTTAAATGTGACTCTTGACAGTTCGGGTAAGAGGCTTGGGGATGGGGATTGTCAAGCATAAAGGAAGATACAAACACTAAAGATATCTGGGGAATGACCTCGATGCATACAAGAAGGACTATCCCAAGAGCGCGCTATCAACCTTACACCAGAAAGTGAATTAACACGCAGCTTTGGAAAGCATAACGATGGAAAAAAGAAAAAAAAAAAGAAAAAGGAAAAAAAAAAGAAAAAAAACAAAGAAAAAGAAAAAACAAAGAAAAGGAAAAAACAAAGAAAAGGAAAAAACAAAGAAAAGGAAAAAAAAAAAAAAAGAAAAAAAATAAAAACCCAGACGAAGCAACTTTGCAGAAATACCCAGTGTCTCTTCTTCCAGTTCAGCACCGGAGACCAGAAGGACGATCCATTAAATAAAGGCACCGCTGACCTAACGCCACCGACACCCAAAACCCCGGCCCCGGCACCACCGGCCCCGGCAGATGCCGCCTCCCGGCCGCCGGTAGCGGGGCTCGACGAGCCCAGCTCTGCCTGCCCCGGCCACCCCCTTCTAGGACAACCGAGCACGGAGACGACCCCGGGGACCCCACGGTGCCGGGGGTCCGGTTCCTACCGGGGGAGGGATGCTCGCCCCCGGCTGGGGACCGGGACCGGGACCGGTACCGGGAGGGATGGTCAGCGCCGCCACCTACCTGTGCGCTCCGCGGGGGCCGGCGGCAGGAGCAGCGGCAGCACCAACAGCCAGGCCGCCCCCCGCCGCGGCCGCCCGGAGCCCATGGGGGGCTCACATCCCCCGGGCCCGGGGCGCCGGAGCCCCAGCGCCGCCGCGCAGGTGGAAGGAGCCGGCGGGAGGCGGAGGGGAGGGGAAGGGAGAGGAAGGGAGGGGAGGGAAAGGGAGGGAAGGGGAGGGGAGAGAGGAGGAGCCGCCGCCGCCGCCGCCGGGATGAGCTCCCTCGCCTTCGACGACGCGGCCCTGGAGGGGCTGGCACCGTCCCTCGGCCTCTCCGGGGCCAACGACATCGACACGGCCCTTCTCAGCGACATCGACGGTGCGTCCCGAGCCGGGCAGGGGCGAGCGGGGCAGAACCGGGGGCTCGGTGCACGGCCGGTGACCGGGCTGGGGAGTAGAACCGGGGCTCCGTGCGTGGCCGGGGGAGCTGGGTTCGGTGCGATACCGGGGCTCGGTGCGATACCGGGACTCGCTGCGATACCGGGGCTCGGTGCGTGGCCAAAACCGGGCTCGGTGCATGGCCGGGGTGAGGAGATCAGGCTCGGTGCACGGTCGGGGAACCGGGACGCGGGCTCAGCGCACAACCGGGGCTCGGTGTACGGCCGGCGGGAGAGAAATCAGCGTGTAAACGGGACTCGGTGCACAACCGGGCTCGGTGCGCGGCCGGTGCACCGGGGCACAGCCGGAGAGACACCGGGCTCGGTACCGGGCCCGGCGTGTAGGAGGTGGTGGTGGGGGGGACACAGGGAGCTGCTCCGGAGCACGGAGTCGGTGCAGGG